ACCCCCCTCCCAGGCAGCCCGCCCCCTCCCAGGCAGCCGCCCCCTCCCAGGCAGCCGCCCCCTCCCAGGCAGCCCCCGGAGCGCCAGGCAGCCCGCCCCCCGCAGGCAGCCCGCCCCCCGCCAGGCAGCCCGCCCCCTCCCAGGCAGCCCACCCCCCTCCCAGGCAGCCCACCCCCCCCCAGGCAGCCCGCCCCCCGCCAGGCAGCCGCCCCCTCCCAGGCAGCCCGCCCCCTCCCAGGCAGCCGCCCCCTCCCAGGCAGCCCGCCCCCTCCCAGGCAGCCGCCCCCTCCCAGGCAGCCCCCGGAGCGCCCGGCAGCCTGGGTCGGATGCAGGCATGAGCACTACGTTACAGCAGCCATGGCCGTGTCACCTGAGCTCGCCAACGGGGGGCGCACCTGCCGAGGAGGCTGGGTTTAGAGCTCTGAGCCAACCCGAGGGCGTGGAGCCCTGCTCAGCAGGGGAGGCTCCGTGTGTGCGGGCCGGGGCGGCTGAGGCGCTCGGAGGGCGGGCAGGGACCGGAGAGGTGCCGCTTGGACAGGGGTGGGGGCCGGCTCCTCCCCTTTCATCTTTGGCAGCGAGGGGGGGGTCCCTGGGGGGGATCATGAAGGTGGTGATGGTGGTGGTGGTGGTGATGGTGGTGATGGTGGTGATGGTGGTGGTGGTGATGGTGGTGGTGGTGGTGATGGTGGTGATGATGATGGTGGTGATGGTGGTGGTGGTGGTGGTGGTGATGGTGGTGGTGGTGGTGATGGTGGTGATGGTGGTGGTGTTGGTGGTGTTGGTGATGGTGGTGATGGTGGTGATGGTGACAGTGGTGATGGTGGTGGTGATGGTGGTGGTGGTGGTGATGGTGGTGGTGACGGTGGTGGTGATGGTGGTGATGGTGGTGATGGTGGTGGTGATGGTGGTGGTGATGGTGGTGATGGTGGTGACGGTGGTGACGGTGGTGGTGGTGGTGGTGACGGTGATGGTGGTGATGGTGATGGTGGTGGTGGTGGTGACGGTGGTGATGGTGATGGTGGTGATGGTGGTGATGGTGGTGGTGATGGTGGTGGTGATGGTGGTGATGGTGGTGATGGTGGTGACGGTGGTGACGGTGGTGATGATGGTGGTGACGGTGATGGTGGTGATGGTGGTGGTGATGGTGGTGGTGATGGTGGTGGTGATGGTGGTGGTGACGGTGGTGGTGATGGTGATGATGGTGGTGATGGTGGTGGTGACGGTGGTGGTGGTGGTGGTGACGGTGATGGTGGTGATGGTGGTGGTGATGGTGGTGGTGATGGTGGTGATGGTGGTGATGGTGGTGACGGTGGTGACGGTGGTGATGATGGTGGTGATGGTGGTGGTGACGGTGGTGGTGGTGGTGGTGACGGTGATGGTGGTGATGGTGGTGGTGATGGTGGTGGTGATGGTGGTGGTGACGGTGGTGGTGATGGTGGTGGTGGTGATGATGGTGGTGATGGTGGTGGTGACGGTAGTGGTGGTGCTGGTGACGGTGGTGACGGTGGTGATGGTGATGGTGATGTAATAGATCAACAGAGGTGGGTGCTATGCCAGGCACCTGGCGGAGGTGGCATCACTGACCGGCTCTCCTGGAGGCCAGGTGGCCCTCCCACTCAGAGTGGCAGCCGGAGCCTCGTTTTTCCTTGAGAAGCTGCCCCTCCTGGCTGCCAGCCTGGGAGCCCACTTCCCGTCACTGCCCGCTCTGACTGTGCCTGTTCCCCTCGCCCAGGGCGGCGGGGGCGGAGGGCGCACGGCGAGGGCAGGGCGGCGGGGCCGGAGGGCGCACGGCGAGGGCAGGGCGGCGGGGCGGAGGGCGCACGGCGAGGGCAGGGCGGCGGGGCGGAGGGCGCACGGCGAGGGCAGGGCGGCGGGGCGGAGGGCGCACGGCGAGGGCAGGGCGGCGGGGGCGGAGGGCGCACGGCGAGGGCAGGGCGGCGGGGCCGGAGGGCGCACCGAGGGCAGGGCGGCGGGGCGGAGGGCGCACCGAGGGCAGGGCAGGGTATTGAGAGCGGCTGCCTGCAGGGCTGGCCCTCCGCGGCGGCAGATGCCCAGTGGCCTCCTGACGGCCTCTGACGAGGAGGCGGCCCCGCCCTCCGTCTGTCGGCCGGGCTCCGGGCCTCGCTGGCCAGACAGGGCCCGGCTCCCCACCGGAGCCGCCAAATGTCCTTAACCGGCTCCACAGCCGCCCCGCGGCCCCTGCGGGAGCTCCGCCGGCCACGCGCCCGCTGGCCCTGCCCGCGCCGGCCGCCCGGGCGCTGAGGGAGTGGGGGACGGGCTCCCCGGAGCCCAGCAGGCGCGGCACCTCGGCGCGCTCGGCGGGGGGCCTGCCGGGCGGTCAGGGGGGGGGCTCCCTCCGCCGGGAACTCGGTGCCACGTTAGACATGAAGGGACACCGTATGTCCACCGAACACTGAGCCCTCCTCCCCGTTCCCTCAACGGGCTCCCGGGCCGTTTCCCTCAAAAACAAGAGAAAAGGAGCGAAGGACGTCCGCCTGGCTCTCGGTTCTGGAGGACGAGCGGGAGGGAGGAGCCGCTGGCTCGGGGCCGGGGACAGCGGGCAGCCTGGCTGTGGCCGGCGGCCAGGGGCGTCTGAGCCAGGCCCGGAGTCTGGCTGTTACAGCGCGGTTTCCGCTGCTCGGCGCCGGCAGCCAGGGGCAGGGCCGTCCGGCGAGCGCCCGCAGTGCCCGTCTGCGGCCTGTGTGCCCGCTGGCCGCGGGCCCAGGGCTGACCAGGCCTGCCCCGTGCGGGCAGTGGGCTGGGGTGAGCAGGCCGTGCCCACGGGAGAGGCCCTGGCGTCCGGGGAGGGGGCGCTCCGGCCGCAGCGGGGAGGCCGGCACCCAGGCCCAGCCTCCGGGGCTCAGAGCAGTTTCCCTCAGGCCCCACACCCGTCCGCTCCCACCCTCGGTCCTGCCCGGCGCCCGCACCCTGAGCGTGCCCGGAGCCGGGGAAGGAGCAGCCCGGGCAGGGACAGCCCGGGGCCTCGGACGAAGGAGCCAGCGCCACAGCCGGCTGGTCCGCAGCTCCTCCGTGGCCGCCCCGCCAGCCCCGCCGCCCCCACGGCGACACCACCATCAGCCGGACGGCGTCCGGTGTCTGCGCCCAGCCCGGGCGGCCGAGGAGGCGGCACCTTCGGGCGACTGGGTCTCGAGGTCTGGCTGCCGGCTCCGTGGGGACGGGCGCTCCCGCCCAGGCCCCCGGGGCGTGGCACACACCGTGGTTGTTGTCGTGAGGGGTTGTAAGAGTCTGGGATGGCTGCCCTCTGCCCTCTGCCCTCTGCCCTCTGCACTCCCCCCAGGGAGCACCTGGGCCTTCCCATCCCACCTCCCCTCAAGCTCCAGGTCAGGGGTCAGGGCTGGGCGGGCCAGGAAGGTTCCGGATCCTGGGACCAGCTGGTCAGACTCCATTGCACCGTCATACTCGGAGGAGCTGAGCACTCGCCCTCTCCACCAGGAGCGCCGGGATCACAGGACAGACAAACGGACGGACACAAGGACCTCCCACCCCGATGGCCGGCGGGAGGCCCGGGCGCGAGCGGCCACCAGTGGGAGCGGAACCTGCAGGCCGGCACACGGCGCTCCGTGCCGGCCCGGGGGGCGGCCTGTCCCCGGGGTCCTCAGAGCCCCGGGCCCATGCCGGGGGCAGCTCGGCCCTCAGAGCCCGGGCCCATGCCGGGGGGCAGCTCGGCCCTCAGAGCCCCGGCCCATGCCGGGGGGCAGCTTGCCGGGGTGCCAGCCAGAGCCGTGCCTGCAGGACGGAGCCCGCCCCAGACCGGCCCCGCCCGGAACAGGACCACAGCTCGGTCGGTCGGTCGACTGGGGTCCCCACACCCCAAACTCACACCCCAAACTCGCCATCTGTCTGGGCAGCTGTGGATCACACCCAGACCCTGCCCGCCTGTCCCCACGGGCGCCCAGCAGAGGACCTGGGGGCCCTGCAGACATGTCCGGGGGCGGGGGGGGGGGGCTGGCCGTCGGCGCCCTCCTCAGGAACTGTCCCGGCCCCCCACTCTGGCCTTCACCCTCTCTGGGGCCTGGCGGGAAGCAGCAGGGCAGAGGCCCCTCTGGCTCCACTCCCGCAGCCAAGACCCCCGACCCCCACCCCGATGGGACCACCCAGGCTGAGGGTGGTCTGGACAAACGGGGGCGGGGCCTGGCCCGGTGTGGGTCCGGGGAGAGCCCCTGCGAGGCGGCGTCCGGGTGAAGGGTCCCCTCCAGCTCCTCACGCCCCCCGGACCCGAGAAGAACCAGCCGACTCCGGGGAGAAGCACACTTTATGGGCCCAGGCCGGGCGCTCGGTGAGAACAGGCCCGTCCCCATCCGTTACAAACATCGGCTGGAGGGCCCGGGCCGCGGGCGCACGAGGCCAAAGCTGGCGGCTCCTCACGGCTCCTCAGTGGGCCTGCGTGCCGGGCGGTGACCCCGGTTTTAACCGGAACCAGGAGGTGGATGGTGCTGTGACCGCGGGGAAGCCTCCTCACTCCTCTGTCCGTCCGTCTGTCCGTCTGACCACAGGAGTCTGGGACCGCGGAGCCGGGCGTGGAGAGGTGCAGGGCGACCAGAACGCTGGGTCCCTGGGGGCGGGGCTGAAAGGGGGGGCGCCCCTTCGGCAGTGTCCCCACTTTGGGATGCAGTTGGTGGGGAAGCAGCCCCACCTGGTGGCCAATGAGGAGACTGCGGGAAGGCCCTGGAGGTGGCCGCCTGGGGTTCAGGAACGTGGGGGTCTGGGACCTGGGGGTTCTGGGACCTGGGGGTTTGGGGACCTGCTGTGAGGCAGGGCAGGGTCAAAGGACAGCCCCCCAAGAGGCTCCCTCATGCTCCACTCATCCTCTGCAGGGATCAGGACCGGCTGTCACTCCATCCGCGGCCCTGGGGCCCCAGAGCAGGTGGGGTTGGGTGGGGTGAGGTGGAGTGAGGTGGGGTGGGTTCCCTCTGGGTCCCAGGAGGGCTTGGTGAGGGGTGAGGGGTGAGGCGTGAGGACCGTGCGGGGCGTGGGGGCCCCTACACGGTGCCCATGGGCAGGGCCAGCCCCCCGGGCCCCGGCGGGGCGCCGTCCCCCAGGGCCCTCTGCAGCACGGCCCGCAGCGGCTGGCGCTGGCCGGGCTGCCGGCCGGCGGTGCAGTAGAGCAGCGGGCGGGCGCCGGCGGGGACGCAGGCCAGCAGGTTGGCGAGCGGCGGGAAGAGGGGCAGCAGGCTGAGCGCGGGCCGCAGGCTCCAGAGGAGGGCGTAGGGCAGCCCGCAGAGCGCCAGCAGCAGCGCGGAGCCCAGCACCGGGCCGTGGAGGCGGGGCCGCGGGCGCGAGGAGCAGGCCGCCCGGAGGAGCAGCGCCAGGCCGGCGCCGCAGGCCGCGCACACCAGCGCCGCCAGCCAGGCCGCGCCGGCCGCGTGCAGCCGCAGGCAGGCCCCGGGGCGGGCGCCGCCCCGCAGCAGCCCGCAGGCGTCCGCGGGCAGCAGCACGGCGGGCGGCGTCAGCGCCCAGAGCAGCCCGCACACCGCGCCCGCCCTGCGCCGCGGCCGGCAGCCCGCCTGGCAGCGGGGGAAGAGCGTGGCCACGCACAGCTCCAGGCCGAGGGCCGCCAGCAGCCAGAGCCCGGCGGCGAAGGCCACGAAGGTCACGGCGAAGGGCAGCGTGGCCGGCGCGCCCGGCAGGGCCGGCGCCACGGCGAAGGCCACCTGGCAGCCCAGGAACAGGAGGTCGGCGGCCGCCAGGTGCAGCGCGTACACGGCCAGCGGGCCCTTGGGGACGTGCAGGCCCAGGTGCCAGAGCAGCAGCCCGTTGCCCAGCAGCCCGCCGAGGCCCAGCGCCAGGCGCAGGTAGAAGACCATGGTGGTGAGGGTGCGCCACGGCCCGAACAT